CATATGTTCATTTTTTCTTTTACTTCCCTTGCCCATGGGGATGTATCAGTAAAAATGTTGCTCAGGGTAATGTCTGCAAATTTAGACCCTATATTTTCTTCTAGGAGTTTTATGGTTTCAGGTCTTACATTTAAGTCTTTAATCCGTTTTGAATTTGTTCTTGAATATGCAGTAAGGAGGTGGTCCAGTTTCAATCTAATAGTGTTGATTCAAGTGGCCATGGGATGGAGAGACCTTTAGTTTAATATTCAGCTAATGACTCATAGTTGAGAAGATTTAGATTTTAGGAATTTGAGATTCAATGGCTTGATGTTGATATTTTCATTATCTAAGAAGTAAGAGCTTTCTGAGCAAATTAGTAGCATAAGCCTTGTTAATGTGTCCTGAGTAATGTTAAGCCTCCTAAAAAACTATTTTAGGAGCTTTGTTACATTCATGGGCATCTTCATTACAAACCAGTCTTACACATTCATGAAAGCAGATGTGGAAACTGAGAGGCAGCAATGGGGAGAGCCCTGAGATGGGAGTTAGAGAATTTGGACACTCATCTGGATTTTGCCCTTGATTAGCAGTGTAGTTATGGGCAGGTTACTTAATCTCTGAGTTTTAATTTCCTCATCTATAAAATTGGAATAATGTTTACCATAATTATTTTGCAGGGTTCTTACGAGGTTCAAATTAGATCATTCATTTATTCAATAAATATGTGATTCACCGAGTGCCTATTACTTGCCAGGGAGCACTCTAGATGTGAAGGATATAAAGAAGGAAAATATGTCCTTGGAAGGAATTAGCAAATATACTAGTCACATTAAAAAGAATCATATTGTAAGCCCTTTGAAGATGGCTTGTTCTTTCATCTTCGTGTTTCCATGTCTCAATACCTGGCACATAACAAAGAAGGGGCTAAAATACTGGTTATATGAATGAATTAATCACATAATTCATTTCCTTAAAAATATTTTAACTCTAGTCTGAGTCTCCCTTGAACAAGTTGAAATGAGTAATGTGTGGAGGTGGTTTCATTTTCCTGTTGGTTTAAAGTACCACACGAACTTGAACATGGTAGTCTTCTAACCTGAGATCCTTTCAAACCACAGCAATGGTTAGTTTTTTAGTTGAAGTTTGATTCAGTTTAGGTTGTATTCCCTTTTTTTCCGATCAACATTTCAACAACATTAGGAGTACCTGTTTTTGGCTTAATGTCCTTTTCATGTTTGGTATTAATTCGAGCTCCAATATTCCTTTCGGAAAGAAAGATAAATTCTTTCCTTGACATCCTTTTTTCCCCATTAAAGTTAAAAAAAAGTCACTTCATAAATGTGATCTCAAACAGCTGGATTTTAATCTTGCTACTTTATGGGAAGAGAGAGTTTGGTTTCAACAATGCTCCTACCAAATGTCCTGGATCACACTCAGCATACAGATTTTTTAAACAACAAACTTGTGGTTGTATATTTGGGCTGTGTTCACATGTTATTCTAAACTAGGTCAGGGGCTGTGGTTGGTTTCTTTTTCTATACTCTTCTAAGAGAATGTGAACAAATGGAGAATTATAAGATCCCTTTCATACTGGGTCACAGAAATAAATACTTCTGAGGATTTAAGTTCTGTCCTTTACAACAGGTAAAGGGTTATTCTCTTTGCAGTCCCATGTGTCCTTTAGCATAGCTGGAGGAGACCTTGGTGTTCTGATGCCCAGTCTTTTATTTGAATAACAGAATTTTAGAGTTGACAGGACCTTGGACTTGATCCAAGCCTGCCACCTATATTCTAGACAGACAAAATTGAAGCAAAATGAAGAGGCTGTGATAGTCTGCATCAGTGGGTGTCCAGAGACGCTTTTCCTGAGTTTTTTTCCACTGTCTTCCTACTGAGTAGAACGTACTGTGTGAATCCTGCCAGCTTCTGTGGGTGCTCCTAGTGAAAATCTCACAGTCAGAATGCAAGGTGATATATTGGGTTGTCGGAAAAGTCGTGACGCATTTTTGCAATAAAAAACATAGAAAGAATACGTCATGACTTTTCTGGCAACCCAATATATACATGTTTATGTGCTCATGTCTGTATAATTGTGTCATTTCCTTTATCTTTAATTGCTTAAATTGATAGTAATGTGTTAAGTTTGCAAATTTATTTTAAAGTCTTATAAAAGTCAATTTCATTTTCAAATCTTGATTTGTACAGACTTAGAGGTCCATGTTCGATGTGGCCTACAGGGACCTGGGTTGGGCTCTAGCCTATTCTTTAAGTCACTCTACATGGTCCTTGGCATAGATGCTTCTCAGGTAGCAGAGAGCACACATTATTTTCCCATGTTTTACATTATAAAGTCAGTGCTAACCCTACTTGGTATTAAACCTGGGTTTTTTTAGGCATGAGGTGAATGAACACTAGAGAGGTTAAATATTTTGCCCAAAGCTTCACAACATCTAGTGAAAAGTTGGAAATAAAATGTATATGCCTCCTTTTAGCAAGCCTGAACTCCCAAATTCTGCTGTCGCCCCAGCCACTGCTGCACAGGCTGTTCATCACTGGGGACATGGAAATCACCACGGATGTTTTTCAAGCTAAATGAGAGCCTCATAGTTATGACTTTTTCTGGGCAGGTCATGGAAAGAAAGCACCTATGTTACTCATTTTGTGGGTTATAGATGTGGGGTAGGTAATGTATGGCAGGCCCTGAGGCACTACTCTGTGCATTTCATAGAAGGAAGGTCCTTACCAAGATAGTCTTTCTCTAACTTCAGTTTCCTGGGATCTCCAGATAGACTTGAGTTCCCAAACTGTCATGGAATGCAAATGGTGAAGAAAAAAAAAATAACTCAAGAGCATCAAGCTTGCATTGACTACTTCATGCTTTATATTGTACTTTTTCAGAGTGCAAATTCACCTGCACCAGCGGTAAATGCTTGTATCTTGATTCACTGGTCTGTAACCAGCAGAACGACTGTGGGGACAACAGCGATGAAGAAAACTGTCTCCTGGTGACTGAACATCCACCTCCGGGCATCTTCAACTGTAAGTCCCTCCTACTCACCTTGGTGTCATTTGGTTTGGTTGTGTTTTTGAAAAGGTCAGGATGTAAGGTCCTGTGGCAATAGGAAAGATGTTGTTTTTAGGGAGTAAGAAAAGAGGTTTACATTTTTACAAAGGGAATGTTTTCTTTTAGGATAGAAAGATGGTGTGTCTAAAAGTGGGACATTTATTCTATTATCAGAGATGTCCAGTGGCACTATGTTTTGGAATAGGCTTTTGCTACCCAGAAGCATTTACTGGATACCAAGAAATAATACATTGATTTAGTATTCTTCCTACCAGTTTTATAGAATTTTTAAAGACTAATTTGAAACAATTTGTAAATACTTTTAAATAAGCAAAGAAAGATATGTGGAGAGGCTGTAATTAATTGTGTAATTAAAATAAGAAAACAGATTTATATTGGACTTTTAAAAAAGGTTCTGATTACATGTTTTTCTATTTGCTGCTGGATGGAAAACAACTTAAGTGAGGTGTTTACATGTGTGAATCCCAAGGCTGAGGCTTTGAGCAATTCTTGAACTTGCAAAGGTGAAATTAAGAGTTTGAAGTTCATTGATTTTTGATCTCATGGTTTTTATGAAGAGGAAGAAGAGAGAAGGGAACTTTGAAACACTGCTGAACTTCTTTTAGGGAAAGTGGCTTACTGTTTCTTGTGTTTCCTTGGGCTAAGTGAAGTGGGTTGAGGATGAGAGAATGATTTTGCAGTAGCATGCTCTAGAGGAATGTTTGCAGCACTGACCCTCTTCATGGGGTCTTCTTACTGAGATCATTTCATGAAACATTCAACTTATCTCCCCAGTGTTACTGACATGATTTTGAGGAGTTATATTTGTTTTCATTTATAGCTCTTTAAATTTTTGTTATGAAAATTAGACTACATAAATACTGATACTATAATGTGAAATGGGAAGAGATTTTTAAAATGAAACAATTTTCTCTATTCCTACTGTATTTTTCATATTGGGGGAAAACGGAAAGTAACAGTGCCTAGCAAATTTTAAGCCTGCTCTTTATGCTTGCTAAATTCAAGCTTTTCTGTTGTGTCAGTATGCATTTTCTTATATTAAATGTTCTTAAAGTCCCATGTCTGTGTTTTCAAAGGACAATTTAAAGTTAGGTGTGTACTTTCATGGTATTTGGTCCATTTGTTTCCTCTGGTGATGTTTTGTGTAATAGCCTTTGCAGTTGTCAGTACTGTAATTTGCATAATGCAGCTTGCCTGGGCTCAGGAAAGGGATCCCCAAAGTCATTGTCTTGTCTGCTCTGAGCTGGACTGCTGGGTGGAGAGCCTAGACCTTGCACTTACCCAACAGTTGGGCAGCTCTGTGGCCTCATCTGCACAATGAGTCATGAGAATGGGTATCGTGAGGATTCAGTGGGATGATCCACATAAAGCAATTAGAACAGAATCTTGCTGGCGCTTAGCCCTTGATGTAGGTCAGCTAAACTCAAGCCAGCAGGTCTCAGAAGGAGAAGAACAATGTAAAGGCAATTTCTTGTTTTTTTGTTGTAATTTTTCTCTGGACTTGAGCAACAGCAAGCACATACATGATAAGCTATGGAGAGACTATTAGGATTGTGTGTGGTACCTTGACTATGTGAAAAGCAGGCTGACCAAACCTCTGTCCCAGAGCACGTCACAGGCTGTTCCTCTGACTCTTGAAGGTGCTCCTCCTTTACGTCAGGGTCCGTTCCTCCTATTGAACATCTCCGCTTCCCTCCCCTCTCCCCCCTTCTCCTCCTTTCTCATCAGTAGTCTTTCCTGGTTTTTAAAGCCTATTTATAGATATCTTTTTCATCCATTTAAAAAACGTGAGTATTTTAATTTTGCTTAGAAGCCAGGTGAAGCAGTTACCTCTGTAAGAGGCTCAACATTGCCCAGGCAGCTACAAGAGTTTGCCTTAACAGAGGAATTTGAGGATCCTATTGGCAAGCTGTTGGTCCCTACAGTTCAGATATAAATAGAACTTGTGTCCTTATAGCTAAAATGGGAGATTACTTACATTGTGCTCTCTTTTAAGAAGACTGGGGAGCCAGGAGGCAGAATGACGAAGGGCAAGACCATGGCTGTGGCTTCAGGTTCACTTGGCTTCAAGTTCCAGCTTAAGGAAGTTACTGAACCCCTTTAAAGCTTGGTCTCTCTCTCTCTGTAAATGTGAACAATTGCTGTCATATAAGGTTTCTCTGAGGATTTAAATGAAATAATATACATGAAAAGAATAGTGTATATAATGACAACATTACTATCATCATCCCCACTCATTGTATGGCCATTTCTTGGGGAGGTAGACCCTCACGATCAACTGCCTTTAATTCCAGAGCCACTTTTCTTATGTAACAGGAGTTTCCATATGTCCAAAGGTGAGTCCATTGCCAGAGGTTCTGGACGTTTCCCATCTAGTTTGTCCCCTGGGGAGGCCTGCCAGCTGATGGTGGCATGCTCTAATCTGGCCAGCAGCCCCCTCTACACTTTTTTCCCCTGGTTCTCTGAAAGCACCAGAAGGAGCCAGGCTCTATTGCTACATTGAGACCCTTACTCTGAGTTTGTTGTAGTTGGTCTGTTCTTTATGGTCAGGTGCCTTTGGGAAAGGGTGTAGTGTCTCTGTTCTTTGATGATGCTAGAGGATGATCTAATATTAAATGAATATATTCTCTTCCCTGTACCCTGTTGTGCAAGAATACAGAGTAAACAAAAGATATTTTACTTCCTATTAATAGATGTGTATTGAGGCTTAGAGGCTCTCCATTTGTATGTGGGTTTTAATGGATCTACCAACGCATTTCTTACAACAGATGGACAATATGCCCTTCATGCAGTGCTAGCTCTGATGATAAGACTCCACTTCCTCTCCATCTTGAGAACTTGAATTATTACAGGAGTTCTTGTCTATAAAATGTTGCATTCTAGAAAAACAAATAGTACTTCGTCTTATTCTTATTTGAGAACAAGATTTGTGTACTCAATCTGCTTTGTTTCCACATGCAGGAAACATTCAATGTTCTGCTGCTTGATGGGGCTTAGGGTAAAGCAAGGTGGACTCTTCTGGATTTCCAGATGAGCTAGTATCAGTTTTCTGCCTGTGTTGTTGGCTGTGGGCATGCACCATGGCTTAGAAGTCCTGATCGTCTTTGCTGAAATTTAACATGAATTAAGGTTAGAACACGTTACTGTCATTTGTGAAGTCAGCAATGCTAATAATGGAATCCCTTACAGGAGCTCTAAGTAGCTTTCCCCTTGAAAAGATTGAGTGATTTCACCTGCTTCTCTACTTTGCAACTGTGGTCATGCTGTCCATTGACTGAAGCTAATTTATTTTTCTGTTAGCCCCAGTTTTGCACAGACATGGAGGACTGGGTTGGTGTTGATTGTTTCACAGGGAAAGAGTTTTTCTGGATGCATCTTTTTACAGAAGAGGAAAATGCTATCAGCCTAAATTGCCAGCTTTTCTTGTGTCTTTTCTCTTGGCTGCTGCATCAAAATATTGTACTCCTGAGCACTAAAAATACAAATTATACAAATAAAATTACTTATGATTTACAAAAATAAAATTATTAAGTACCTCCTTTGGTTCTTGTACTAGGCATTATGGGGGATGAAGGAAAATATAGATCCTGTTATCAAGGTGCTGATAGTCAACTTGGGGAACTGAAAGATACATGTACAAAGATAACTAAAAATGAACACAGGGTATTTAGAGCTAAGCAGTTCCTGCAATTTATTGTTCAGGAGTTTACAGAGAATCATTCTGGTTGTCATGGTGGCTTTGTGAATGAGGTGTGCTGGGTGTCATTGAGAGGATGCTATCAGGGCACAGAATAGCATGAGCGTGAGGAGAGTGAGGGTAGATGCCCTGAATACAGAAGGCCTGGGTTGAAAAGATGGCTTCGGCCCATAGAGAAAAGCCAGTAAGCCCTGCTACATCTTCTGTCTTTGGATCTTGAAAAGAGACCAACTGGGGCCAGCCGAGTGGCTCAGTTGGTTAAGAGCTCGTTCAAGAGTTTGAGCTCTGAGCAACAGCGGTTCGATGCCTGGCCCGAGCTGAGCTGCCGCTGAGCTGCCAACAGGTGGCAGGATGGCTCAGCTAAAAACAAACAAACAAACAAACAAACAAATAAATAAATAAATAAATAAGAGACCGACTGCCTATGGGTTCAGTGTCATCTATAGGGGAGAGCTGCACAGCCTGCCTGACTGAGTGATGCTGGCATCGCAACTATGAGCCTTTCACTTAGTGAACCCTCTGCCTCACCATTCCTACCAAGCTGAGTGTTTACTGTTACACTGCATTTTTAAAGCCCCTTTGGCACATCTTGGTGGGGGAGAGTGGAGTTCCCTTGACTTGTCAGAAGCAATAATTGTGTAGCCTTGCAAAGGGCTGTGTACTTTGAAAGTGTTGGCAAAAACAGACATTCCTTAAGCAACCACTACTAAGGAATTCATGCTACTAGACCTTAAGAGTAAGCCCAAAGTTGACACGAAGCCCATAAGCAGAATAACTTTTACGTTCAGCTTCAGTGGTATTTCTGATTCAGGGAAAGTTGGGAGTGGAGGAGCTCCCAACTCTACTGGAGGGGGAAGTGGCTTTTTTCTCAATAGGTGGCTTCACAAAACTGAATCTCAAAATCCAATGAACTGAAGCTAATAAAGTGTACCTAATTAAGCCAGGATTTAAACTTCAGGACTTTTTCAGAAGGAAACTCTTTCCTTCCTTCCTTCCTTTCTTCCTTCCTTCCTTCCTTCCTTCCTTCCTTCTTTCCTTCTTCTTGCCTTCCTTCCTTCCTTCTTTCCTTCCTTCCTCTCTCCCTTCCTCCCTTCCTCCCTTCCTTCCTTTTGCCCAAGGTCATTTAGGGTAATAACAACCAAGTAAGATAAAATTTAACATATTAAAATCTGAGCTGAGTGTCTTTCTTTCCAAACCAGCCTTTCCACTTTCCTCAATGCCAAAGGGACTGGCACCCTACTTGTTACCTAGGCTCAG